ATTTCTTCATGTGTTTGTTGGCTGCTCGAATGTCTTCTTTTGTGAAGTGTCTGTTCATATCTTTTGCCCATTTTATTATGGGGTTGTTTGTTTTCTTCTTTTCAGTACTTGATTTTTTGATTTATTGTAGAGATGAGGTCTCGCTGCCCAGGCGGGTCTCAAACCCGCGGGCTTAGGCAATCCACTCACCTCAGCCTCCCAAAGGCGCGGGATTACAGGCTGAGCCACCGAGCCCGGCTCAAAATACATTTTTTACTTTTACTCTCAGTATGAATTATTTCTCCTTTTTTGAGGTTCACTTAATTTTTCTAACTTTATTTTATAGAGATAAGAACACTTATGATGAGATCTACCCTTAGGTCTCTAAGTGTACCATACAGTACTATTAGCAATGGTTACAATGCTGTACAGCATCTCTAGAACTTACTCATCTTGCTCAACTGAAACCTGATGCCCATGGATGAGAAGCTCCCCATTTCTCCCTCCCCCATCCCTTCCCCCAGGCAACCACCACTTGACTATTGAGTCTTGGCTATTTTAGACACCTTATTTAAGTGGAATTATGCAGTATTTTTCCTTCTGTGACTGGTTCATTTCATTTAGCATAATGTAAGGGGTTAATATCCAAAATAAATAAGGAACTCCTACAACTCAACAGCAAAGAAAATAATAACCCAATTAAAAATGGGATAAAGACTTGAAAAGACATTACCCCAAAGAAGATGGACAAATGGCCGACAGGTACATGAAAAGATACCCAATGTCACTAATCATTGAGGAAATACAGATCAAAGTCACAGTAAGATACCACTTCACACTGTCATGGTGTTTATCATGAAGAATACAAAAGATGACAAGTGACTGCAGGGATATGGAGAAATTAGAACGCTTGTACACTGTTGGCAAGAACGCAAAACAGTGTAGCCACTATGGAAAAACATTTTAAAAGTGTAAAAAAAAAAATTAAAAGAGTAAAACTAGAACTAGCATATGATCCAGCAATTCTACTTTGGGGTACTTATACAAAGGGACTGAAATTAGGATCTCAAAGCGATACTAGTATTCCCATGTTCACTATAGCATTATTAACAACAGTCAAGATACAAAAACAACCTAAATATCCATTGGTAGATGATGGATACACAGACTGCAGTATACACATACAATGGAATATTATTCAGTCTTTAAAAAAATTCTGCAACATGCAACAATACAGAGGAACCCTCAGGGCATTTAAGTGAAATCAGCTTTTTTTTTCCCCCCTGTTATCTTCTTCTCTATTTCATGTTAACTTTTGAAAGAACTGACTGGTTTTTCAGTATATTTAGCAAAATGTATCAAAAGTTGACTACCTTAAATTTGATTGAGGGTTTAATTTGATATCTTTAAATAAAACTGGTACTAGAGTTTTCAAATGGTTGTATCTTCTGAAAATTTTGATGGAGCAGAGGACACAAAAATAAAATGTTTCATTTAAAAAGTGGCTCCAGCTTCCATCTTATAATGATAAGATGTAACCACTGCATGTGACAGGTCAAACTTCTCTGTCTCCAACCTGGCAGGTGTGGTCCTTAATCAGTATTAAGGGATGTTCCTTCACATCCTGAAGTCCTACTCTGAGTCACAGTCCAGGGTCTCTACTTTGAACACGACCTTGCCCTTGGAAGAAGTGAAGCAAATTTAAGGGCTTTGTGTGTCAGTGATGGAAAACATTTAGAAGCAGAAGCCTAAGAGAAAGGAATGCTTTGCCTCTTTAAGGAACATTAATGGTTCCAGGAAGCCTAAGGTTCTAGGATCCTGAGGTAGATCCTCAAAAAAACCATCTGGGAACTTACACAGGGGTTTCACTTGCCTGGGTCACTGCCCCACAAATCCTCCACACAGAAAACCCCTTTTTCCCCAAGTAGAGAAGGTCTCACTAGCTGCAATGTGAAAAATATGTCAAACATTATGAAATTTGCATATTCCCCAAATAGATATAGCATTTTCTTATTTTTAGAAATGTTCCAAGGCCTGTAAGAGGGCCTCAACAATCCCTAGGAATTCCCTAAAACCTCCTTCCCCACTACCAATGATTTGGCCAAGATCAAGGCGTCTGCCACCTCAGGTGGTGAGACCTTTTCCAACCTGGTATGTAATCCTATGAAGGATCAACACGAGTTGATTGTTCTGTCTATACTTTGATAAGCCACCTCCCACTCTCCTTGGTTGGGGTCCCCTGAGAAGCCACCAGATGGGTTTTTCAAACAGTGACGATTTTGTTTGGAAAACCACATTCGGAAGAGATCCAAGCTCTGGGAAAATGGTCTCACCACATATGGAGGAATGTTACCCTTGGGACTACCTCCAAGTAAGTTATCTCTGGTGGTCCGATTATAAGATGAAAGCAGCTCCTTCCCCCAGCACGGATAGACTCTCTTGGCCAAAAACCTGGTCTTTCAGGAGACACAGAGGACAAGTACAAAAGTGCTCAGAAAAGCTGACATGCCATGGGCAATTCTAACCTGACCGACCAGGAGCACGTTGTGTTATGTAAGCATTCCACTCTGCCAGGGAGGACTTCCCTAAGGAATGCTCCGGTCAGCAAGATCAGCTGAGTGGGATTCTTGGGGTTTCTGGAACTTCTACTATAGATCATGCTTGATCTGGTTTGAAATGCTAAGGGCCTCCTAAATTTACAATGTGATGAACTAGCGTTGGGCTGGGAGTCTTGATACTTGAGGTTTATATCAACTCCTGTTGAGGTTATTTTTAGTTTAAATTAAAGATTACTTGACTGAAAATCCATGTTATTTTAAGTTTATGTCCCAAGGCATTTATTATTTCTGGCAACATTATATCTAACAAAAACGTGTAGTGTTAAGAACACACAACAATTTTAACTTTCAATGACTGTGGCATTGAGGTCACAGATGGGCCTGTGTCACATGACGCCCAGATTTATCAGACACCGTAATAACTTAATGGCTTTGAGTTGATTTTATTTTAAGACAAAATAACACACTGCTTCTGTATTTGCTTCGAGAGATCCAAAGGACATCATGAAGGAAGTTCTGAGAGGATTCCCCCAACGCTCGACCCTCCTGGCCTTATCCCAAATCTTGGAAGCCACAGGAGAGGAATAAGAGTTCTAAACTTGGTACCTCTGCCATTCTGGAAGCTACAGCTCCATTTGGCTCTGAGCCTACCTGTCTCTCAAAAGCTTTGGGATTCTGATGTCGGGGATATGAGTCAGGTCTGGCCTCACCTCAAAGTAATCTTGTCTAAGTTTGTGAAATGAATATGTGTGTGTGTGTGGGCGGGGGGAAATCTAGGCTCCAGTGAACACAGCTTTTTCAGGGAGGACTGGAGGTGGCTGACCTGAGCCCTGCTTCCATGGCCCTCCGGAGACAGTCTGGCAACCCTTATTTCATAGGTGTCTATTAACACAGTAACCAGAATAGCTCATGGCAGTTTCTAAGAAATGGTAGGCAGATTTGTATTTGATATTGTTCATTAACATAGCAGTAATGAACCAGCCAGGTTTGTACTAGAGGGGAAAGTCTCCACTGTAATCCTTGCCAAGACTGTGCCCTCAGTCTTGAATTGATCAGAAACGTTACCTACAGGAGCTAAAAATCATGAGGGAATGACAGGCTGCATTCATCCAAAATAGGCTTCAGAATAGGGTTAATTATCATGATCATCAATAATTCCATTTACAGAGAACAAAACACACAGGTAACAATAGCATCAACATCTTCTCATCCTAGAGATTTGTGTTTGTTTTGTACAGAAAAATGGACCCATCAGGTTTCAGATATTCAGAAATAATGCAACTACCAGAGTAATAGGGGGTCACCATGGATTTAGCTACACTTCAAATGCCCACAATATCATGTCAATAAAATAATCCTAAAACATCAAGAAATTCTGAATCACCAATAGGTTAACAGCAATCAATAAAGTGTTGTTATTAATTGTGTTTTGCTATAATGGGTAACATCATAGCAGGTACGTATGGATAACATACTCTTAGCTAACCAGAGCAATGAAACAACAACAAAAACACCCAAGTTCTTCAATTTAAGTATGTGGGATTTTGGTGTAAGATACAGTCTCCCCTCAAAAGAGGTTTGTGTGAAGGTGTGTACATATAAGTGTGTGTGTGTGGATACAATTTAAGTCAGGTAGACTTTTAAACGTTTTCTTTTGAGACAGGGTCTCACTGTGTTACTCAAGCTGGATGCAATGGTATAATCTGAGCTCACTGTAACCTTGATCTCTTAGGCTCAAGTGATCCTCCTGCCTTAGCTTTCCACGTGGCATGAACCATAGTGCCTGGCTAGTTTTCTGTTTTTTACCTTTGGTAGAGATGGAGTCTTGCTATGTTGCTCAGGCTGGTCTTGAACTCCTGGGTTTAAGTGATCCTCCCACCTTGGCCTCCCAAAGTGCTGGGATTATAGGTGTGAGCCACCATGCCAATCTGACTTTTAAGTTTTAATTTAACAAAAATCCAACTAATTATATTGCGAGAGATAAAGAGACAAAGAAAGAAAAAAACAGAAGCGTGGACAATTCTGTCTCCTAGTTAACAAGGGTGTGTGGCCTGTGTTTGTGCACAAACAAACACCCTAGGAGAAAGTGTGTTAAGCCTGTGTGTCTGTCCATCTCTTAGGATCTCCCTGTGAGCACAGCATCATGCTGAGGGTGACTCTGGTGTTCCATGACGCACATTTTTCAAAGAACATGCATATAGGGGTAAGATCCAGATATCTGAAGCTTATATTTTGTCTGATACTCTGAGAAATGTCTGCCAGTTCCAACAGTGGCAGGAAGACTGGGCGTGAGGGACACAGAGAGACAGTGTCGGCTGTCTGACGTGGTACAGATTTTCTTAAGTGATTTTCAAAATTAATTTTGACCATACTATTTTCACCTCTCATCCTCATTTTATTTACCTATTTATTTTGGAGACAAGATCTTGCTGTATTGCCCAGGTTGGTCTTGAACTCCTGGGCTCAAGCAATCCTCTAGCCTTGGCCTCTCAAAGTGCTGGGATTATAGACATGAGCCATAGTGCACAGCCCCTCACTCTGTATGAGATGCAATGTCACTAGACTGTTATCATTTTGCTGAAGTGTTTTCCTTGATATCACCACTGTGTCCTCACAGCCCCCCAATGAAACAAGGACAGGAGTAGTCATTTCTCCCATTCTTGATAAATATCTTCGGGGGCTGAACAAGTGGAGTGATTCGCTTAAGTCATCCAACAGGCTAGAATTTGTGCTCTGGGCCGGTCTTCCTTCTCTGAGACCATCTTTCCAGCCCAGATTGACCGCATCAGGATCCAGGCTCTGGCCGCTCAGTCTCCCCACTTTCAGCAACCCCACTTCCACCATCCCTACTCTCCAGGGACACACACGCACAAACAGCAGATGTCCAATTCTAGCCCACCTCCAATTTCCTGATGGCGTTGATGAAAATATGTCAGCAGTCAATAAGGATGATATAAGATTCCTCCTTCTCATCTAGAAGCTGCCAGCCCTGGCTTTGAAGTCAGACCAACCTGAATAAACATTCTAGCTCTACCTCTTGAGAAAGTAACATTACATCCTTGAGCCTCAGTTTCCCCATCTGTGACTACACAGGGTTAAATGACACTTTATAACATTCATTCATTCATCAAATGTCTATCGAATGCCTTCTGTGTGCCAGATACTGTTCTAGGTATGTCTATTCATGTCTTTTGCTCACTTTTTAATGGGGCAGACGATTTCTTTTAAATAATCAATTTTAAAGGTCCTTCTCATTGCCACAGAGTGATGGTCCAAGAAGAAAAAGACAAAGAAAAAGATCTGTGAAAGCTCTGTCACCAATTAGTACGGGGATGTTAGGCAAGGCCTAACCTCCCCGGCCTCTGTCTCCCTACCTAGAGGTAAGGACTTGAGTTAGATGACTCTTAAAAGATTCTCCAGTTCAGAATGGAATAACTTCACCATTCTTGATATAGAAGGCTGAGCACAATTTAAGGTGTAGCTGCAATTCATTCTTTCAAGAAGAGGAGGTTGAGCATCATTTTGTACCAAGCATTTTGCAGGGCACCTACACAGCAGTGAACCTGGTGCCCAGTGACCATGGAACCCCATGGTCTTGCGGGGGACCATAAAGTCTGCAAGCCAAGGGAATGCATTCTAGGTCAGTGCTGATAAAACTTACTGTGATGATGAAAAAGTCTCAATCCATCTGTTCTGTCTGATACAGTGGCTGCCAGCCACATGCAGCTACTGAGTGTTCGAAATGTGCTAGTGTGACTGAGGACCTAAAGCTCTGAATCTTATTTCATTTTAGCTAAGGGAAATTTAAATAGCCACATGTGGCTAATTGCTGGCACCCTGGACCACACAGGTGTAGGTGATAATTGGATTTGGCTAACTTGAGTGTCGCCATTGTGCTAGGAATCCTGGGTATCAGCATGCTGGCATAAGAGTATGTCTGTGCCCACAAATTACTTACAAATCCTTGGAGATACAACCTGAAGACACAACTGCAGAACAATTAGTGGCTGAAAGCCATGGAAGGCTTTTGCATGTTATCTTACACCAACTCTTGGTGTGACCTTTAATTCAGATCCCGTTTGTCCAACAAAATGGCTGCATTGATGGTACTATCTGTGAAAACCCTCCAAATCCTGAACTGTGGTTGATTTCTTAGAAGTGAAAGATCTGATTTAGGAGTCTCTGCACAGCATCCAAGTAAAGGAAAGAATCCCAGCTTGAGTTGTGTGCCTCGGGCAATGACAAGAAAGCAAATATGACCTCCCACAGCAAGAGGGATTCCTGACATGCCTTCCCGCAGATGCCAGGTATGTGTAATTAAGTCTGGAACAGTCTCAGTTTCAAATGAATTCAGCCAAAGAGGGTGTAAGATAATGTGCCTTCGTCAGCTGAAAAGTGCATGGTGAGATTTAATGAGGCAGAACAAGAGAAAGAATTCTAATGCCAAAAAGTTCTGTGAGGCGCTTCTTAGATCTTTAAAGGAAGATAATATATTGAGGAGATACAATTTTTACTTCAGAAGATGACTTCACAAAAGCACTGAGCTCTTCTAGAACTAACCATAGAATGTCACAGGGCCTGGAGCTGTCCTCTCCTCTGTGGCCTGCTCTGGCTCAGCGTGCAGAACTGCTTCCAGCAAAGAATCCATGTGACTTGATGTCCTGAACACATCAAAGCTGTGTGGACACCCTCTATTCCACCGCTACAGCACCCACAAGGCAAATCCACCTTAGTGTATCCCCACCCTTCCAAGTTACATGTTGGTTTATGGGACTTTCTTTGGGCCCAGCTGTGTCTGTTGGAGGCAGATATGGGGTACAGGGAGGGTTTCGAGGAGGCAGGTGGAAGTGACATGAGTAGATCTGAGCTCCTGGCTCCATTCACCCCTTCTGGTCTGCCAAGGGTGCTCTGTGGATGACGGGGAAACCAACTCTGGATTTTGGTTCAGGAGTGGCTCCTACAAGAAGGCCATATGCTTATTAAGCAAGAACACAGTGGAGCTAGAGTGCAAAAAGTTTCCCTTTTAGAGAAACATTTTCCCAAGGTTCTCCAAGGAAAGACTCTGCTCCACTCCTGTCAGTATCATGGAACTTTCTTTGTTGAAGGAAACAGGGAGATGTGGTAAGAGAGGGAAGAATATGCTTTCTGTTTTGAACCCAAAGAGTAACTCATCTAATGATGCTGCAGGCACAGGACTGGAATAGGGCAGGGAACAGAGAGAAGGCTAAAACCTCTCATGCATGTAGACCCCAGCTAACAGTCTACCCTCCAGCTGGCAAGGAGGAACTTGATTCTAGCAGTGCATGGCACAAATTATGTGTAAGTAGAGAGCAATTCTGCAGGGAATTTAGGGAAAGCTACAGCCACTCCAAGTCTTAAGTGTCTGTTTCCTGTGAAATGCTACAAAGGCACATGCCTCAGAAGGTAAAGGTCAAATTTCCCCATTCAATACAATCTCTGGGGTCCACACAGCCCAGCTCCAAGATGAGGCAGAGAAGGGGAAGATGATGTTATTCTTCCCCTCCACCTTCAGCCCCACCATGTCCCGCACCCAGGTTACCTGTCTGCTCCTATCCTCTCATGGATGTTCCTGATTCAGAGGAACCTCCCCTTGCCCCCAAAGTACTTTGCATTTTAACATAAACTGCCCCAGCATCTCCATCAGGAGAGTGACCATACTGGCAGGTATGTTGGGTATTGTGGAGGTTGATGGGTCCAGGGAGGAGGGAAAACGATGCTGGTGTCACCACTGCAGGCCTTGTTTGCCTTAGAGATGGAGGCTCATACACTTCTGATCTGAAGGCTGCTGCTCACTCACTCTAAGCCAGGAGAAGCCAGTGCATTTGGAGGGTCCAAGAGATACCCTAAAACAGCAGTCCCCAAACTTTTTAGCATCAGAGACCAGTTTCGTGGAACACAACTTTTTCCATGGGGGTTGGGGAGGGAGGATCATCAGGTATTCCGTTCTCATAGGGAGCTAAGGAGTGTGCAGCCTAGATCCCTCATGTGTCTATGAGAATCTGTGTAGCCTAGATCCCTCACGTGTCTATGAGAATCTAATGCCGTCACTGATCTGACAGGAAGAAGAGCTCCGCTTGCTTGCCACTCATCCCCTGTTGTGCCACTCAGTTCCTAACAGACTGTGGACTTCTGCCCTAAATCCCCCCGATCATGCTCTCATTCATCCATCAACACCAAGTCCACCACCTATCATGTGCCAGGCACTGCGCTAAACACTCGTGTGCCATGGGACGCGCATTTAAGGTGCAGGGAAAGTTAAGTATCCCTTAACACAGATACTGAAAGGGATCTGAGAGTGGGAACAATACTGAGATAGCAGAGAAAGGAAATGCTATACAATGGGGGCCTTGTGACCACAAAGTGGGGAGTAACTGGAAAAAAAGGGAGACCTGTTTTTAACATGCCAGGCACTATCTTTTACATATGTTACCTTACTAATTCACTACCATTATCCCCACTTCACAGATAAGGAAGCTGAGGCCATGAGAAGTGGAGAAGGTGGCCTAAGTTCAAATAGCTAGGAATGATCAAGCATAATTTGAGTGTGGGTAGTCCACACTTTGAACCTCCATACAGGGCCTAGCCCTCTGAGGGTGAAATCTGTCTCCAAATCCACGGGAGAGCAAAGGACTGGTACCTGCTCACCTATGAAGGAGTAGTCATCTTGGAGGATGGGGTGGGCTGGCAGGGCGCCCTCAGGAAACTGAACCGCATGCATCCAACATGTGATGGAAACCAGCAGGAAAATCCCTCTTGGGGTTCAAGGTGGAGAGCCAGAGGGCATTGCAGAGGTTCAAGTTCTGCTCTCAGGGCACTGGCAAGACAGAGTAGACATGGCTTTGGGGAGAACAGGTGCAGAGGAGCAGCTAAGGGCTTTCCCTGGATCAGCTGGAGCAACCACACCTCTGTTCTCTGGGGGCGATCAGCATCCCAGGACATTCGGGAGCAGAGGTCAGCGTTGATTTCCTTCTTCTTGGATGCTTCTTATTGGAAGCATAGGTCTGAGGCATTGATAGTATCAACCGTCCCCTTCTACCGTCCCACATACATCCAAGGTTTAGAGGTCAAGGGTAGGAGAGGAAGACTGATGTGCCCAGGACCATGAGATGTTGAGTGGGCACAGCGTGGCTTGGAAATGATGGTAGGGAGCGTGGGGTGGGGAATTTTGAAGTTTTTGTGATATACATATCCATCCTCCCCTTTTTGGGACCTTAAATTCTTGCACATTAAAAACATATTACCGGGAAACTGCTGCTGAGGATTTATGTTGAGCTCCCTGCCCTAAAGAACTGTGGCATTTGAGACTTTAAGGGCTCTTGCAGCCCCTTCATATTAATCTATGTGGAAACCAAAGTTCAGAGAGACGTGAACTTCCAAGGCCTCAGAGCCACTGCAGCCAGCCTCACCAGCACCTAGGGGCTCCTGAGTGCAGGTCTGAAACTAGCCTTCTGGTCTACCTCAAAGGTTCTCCCTCCACCCAACCCAGCCACAGCAGCTTGAAAAGAGACATCAAAATGGGACTCATTTAAAGCTCCTCGAGGGACTTTCGGATTAAATTTGGTTTGTTCTGGGAAACCTCATAGTCAGTTTTCAAAACAACATCTTTCAGGAATGCTGGGAAACCTCATAGTCAGTTTTTAAAACAACATCTTTCAGGAATGCTCAGAAGAAATGCTCTGGGAAAATTGATCTTATATCAGCCCCTCCTCCCAAAGAAACAAAAGGACAGTGAATATTTTTGTTTTCCTTCTTTACTGCTGACATCCTTTACCTAGACAAGATTATTTCCAATTCTACCTAGATTTAGTGACTTGGATTTCTTG